TCGCGGTTACACCGCCAGCAAAACCAGATCATCGTCCCTTTGCTTGCGGACAATCAGCGTTTACATGTTGAGATGAATTACAAGTAAAACATCTCCGCGTCATCCGACAGTCTCGAGCTATATGTCCTGGTTCCTGATATTTAAAACATACTCGTGACTCTGTATTGCAGTTTCCCTGATCTATTTTGTGACATCGAGTACATGCTCTATCAGCAAACCTTGAGAGTGGTCGATTTAAATTTTCCATAAACATTGAATTTCCATTTACTGATACAAAGATTCATTTTTGATTTAAAAAATTAGATTGTTTTAGATATTTTTTTATTTGTTATAATTAATTGTTTGTTGGCTCCATCAGTCAAATAAAATAGATCATTCCTTTGGGAAGAACCAATCAAAGAATTTCTTTATATCCCTTATAAGTCTAAACGTTCTATTTCGCCGATTCCGAATATATGAATTATGCCAAAGATTCAAAATCTATTTTCGGCCAGAGCGTATTTACCAAAACAAATATGATTACCTCGATAAGATATACGGAAATCAGTCATTGTAACTTCCCCCTTTCTTTTCTCTCCAACCTTTTCTTGTGGTTGTCGGTTAATGTCTTGCTCCAAAATTTCAGCGGCATCAACTGTTGCTTGAAACGTTGTCGGATTCCTGGATATCACATACTATCGAAGATTTGCCTCCAAACCCCATATATACTTTCTTACCTTACTGTTTTCAGATATGATATAGGCTTCAGCAAACCGAGATTGTTCCATGAAAACTTCTGTATAATGGCTGACTGACATATTTCCTTGTTCAAGACGAAGGAAATCATCTTCTAACTTTCGTACTGCCGCTTCAGGACAATACTGCATTTTAAACTTAACCACAAATTCTTCCCACAACATGTTTTTCAAAATGTTTGGATCTGAACTGGATAGAACTTCCCACCAATACAAAGCACTTGATCTCAAACGGGATACAGCAAACATGACTTTGTCCTCTTCTGCACTTTTACTAATTTGCAGACTCGGTTCTATCTCTTTAAGCCAACACATGGCTTTAACAGGGTCGCGCTCACCAGAAAATTTAGGAGGTTTACAGGCAAGAAACATCTTGATATCTCCTCCTTTTTGTACTGAAGACGAAGTAAGGGGTACAGATGTACTAGTTACCGGGTAACTAGCTCCGGCTTCCTCTTGATAATCGGAATTTACTACTTTTGGATTATTTTGGGCGGTACATCCCAACAAATTCACCAAACTTTCTTGGAACTTTCCCAATTCTGCTGCCAACATTTCCTGAGTAATGTATCCGGGATCAGGAACATTGTATCCACCCCTTGCTCTTCGTTTACCACGGCAAGACATTGAACTTTCTTGGGCCGACAATTCCTGTTCCCCATGAGTTTCTTGTCTAGCACCTCTACCTCTTCCTCGACCCCTGCTGCGACTTCGTGTTTCTATCGTCATCACATTTTCCAGGTCTTCCCCTTGAGTCACATTTCTACTTTCCCGACCTCTTCCATAACCAGTAGAGGTCATTTCTAATTGATTGGGATTATCTGTTATTTCTCAGTGTATAAGTTTTTCTGTCACATTTAAACACACATGATTATTCTCATAATCAAAAAATAATAACACATTCATCCTCAAATCTATCCATAACTCAGATTATATCAGTCATATATAATCTATTTTTCTCATAATAGGTTCAGCTATAATATATTCCCATGTTCATAGACCCAGTGAAACCTATTATCATAACTTCCGCACTTCTAGTTTAAGTCTAAGTATTTCGCAAATACCCAGATCCCTTAAACTAAGGCTCTGATACCAACTGTAACAACCCACAATTACCACATACAGATAATTCACATAATATTACTCATGTCACAGAATGTAATATTGTTTACAAAATACAGACTAACAAAAACTTTCTTCGATACATTTATAAGCAACTAATTTCTTCAATTCTAAATTTGCCCCTTGCCTTTATCCTGCGAGGTATGATGACTAGCAAAACAGGTTAGTCCAACAACTGAGCGTTAAACCCAATAGGTCTAGTGAATGTACAAATCTCAAACAGATAACATACTTTCCAAACTAGCAGTTTTGAATCAAACCTGTACAGACATAAACATTTATCCATCTCCCTCGCTGTTACATCGCCATTACATCTCTCTCGCGGTTACACCGCCATTACATCTCTCTCGTGGTTACACCGCCATTACATCTCTCTCACGGTTACACCGCCATTACATCTCTCTCGTGGTTACACCGCCATTACATCTCTCTCGCGGTTACACCACCATTACATCTCTCTATCGAATGTGGAATAATAACAAGATTAACCGGATATGAAATCCGAACAACCATCCGGAGATACAATCCGGACAACATTGTCTGGATATCTAATTCGGACAATACATGGAACTTTATATTTCTAAGTTTTCCCGCTTAACACTTGGGTGATTTAGGACAAATCCGCATAACGCTTGAGCGGTATAGCTCTAAACCGGAAAATACTTGGGCGATTTAAGTATAAATCGCTTAATACTTGAGCGATTTAAGGAGATATCCGGTTGCCTCTTGAGCGGTTTAAGGCAAATCCAGTCAACCCTTGTCCGGTTTAGGTAGAACCCGGATAGCACTTGTCCGGTTTAAGTGGAATCCGCACGATATATAATAAGATTCATAATAAACCAGTTCCAACAACAATTGAATTATGTACAAACGAGTGAATAATACACTCACCTTAGAACCGAATATCCTAGTTTTGAATTCTCTTCTTCTTCTTCTTCTGCCAAATTCGGATGATACTATAAGGAGACTTTACTATTATAAAGAGTGTAAAACTTTTTCATCTGAACCCCATTTGCTATACATAGAAATTTTGGGAATCTTGCTACCTTCAGCCGACTCCCCCTCTTTTCACAAGATTTATAATAAAATAAATCTCTATATACACACACCTCCACCTCCATAAATATATATATATATATATATATACATACACTTTAAAACAAAATAATTATACCAAATATTACACCTAACAAGCATGATAAATCAAATGTTTATGATTTGATGAACTCCCCCTAAAAGTTATTTCTCAGAAAAACTCGAACAAGTGATTAGTACTTTGCAATTAAGCACAAAAATGATCAAATACAAATAAAAACAGTTAAGCTCTAGCTCCCCCTAGAAAGATGGATTAGATTTTATACAGACAGATTAAACATTCCAACCTTGCTTGCTAAAAATGAAAACTTTTCTCATCGAGAGGTTTTGTGAAAATATCAGCAAGTTGGAAATCAGTCTACACAAAATGCATCTCAATTAATCATTTTTCTACATTATCTTTAATGAAATGATACCTGATATCGATGTGTTTGGTCTTCGAGTGTTGAACTGGATTAGCAGTTATTGCAATCGCACTTTTGGAATTACAGTTGATAGGGACTTTATTAAACGTATACCCATGGTCTGAAAGTTGTGTTTTCACAAAACTTGTGAACAACAACTAGCTGCTGCAACGTATTCTGCTTCAGCAGAAGAAGTAGAAACACACTTTTGCTTCTTCAAAGTCCAACTGACTAGTTGGCACCTAAGAATTGACATGATCCAGAAGTGCTCTTTCTATCCAGTTTGCAACCTTCATGGTCAAAATCAGTTAATGTTGTGAATGTACATATTTTAAAGGTCGAATGAAATCATTGAAGTGACATCATTCGTGAATGGGTATTAAAATTCATTAACTTTGAGGTGAAACTCGTTGGAGCAGACACTAAAGACGTTGGAGACTTGAGGTGACATCACGAATGGGTGTACACCAGCGTCATAGAACGTGAGATGTAACTTGATGTTCATGTTGTAAAGATTGCTATTATCCGGACATTTTTGGGTTGATACATTTTTAGACTAATTATCGTTGCGGGCATTTATTACGTGAATTTCTTCTTTCTATACTATTGTTTTAACCCACAAGATAAATTGTCTAAGCTCACTAGGCATAACCTAACACATTTTCTTGTCGACATGTATATTAGGTCCCACGTTTATGGCGTGATGTTGGGTGCTCTTTAGAAGTACTGGTTGGATGTCAATTTTGGGACTTCTTGCGAGATGAAAGAGTAACTTTTGATGGCTTAGTAACATCTGAGTGAAATTTAGATCAACTCGATATTAGATTAGTAGGTTGTAACTCTAAATCCGTTTGTCATACTTGTATTTAACCGACATACTTCCCTTGTGTGTTAAAGTTCGTGTTTTATAATTGAATACAAAGGTTTTTATAAGTTGCTATTTCCCAAGTTTTTGTGGTGTTACAGTTGCATTTAATCTGGCAATTCGAATACCACTATCGTTGAGCTTCCATTACAGGCTTCTAAGATTTGGAGGGTCGACACTCCACACTCAAATAACCACAATTTCCAGACTGTCTAGCCCAGTTTGGACAGACAATCAAACATACTCCACCCACCGAATCCAATTGGTGGAGCCCATTTTAACCAGAATCTTCGAAATAACCGAAAAACTGATTATACCCAGACCCGTAAAATTAGTGGATGTGTCTTGTTGAACCGGAATTGTTTCGTCATGAAGAGTTTGCTAAGTCTGACCGAATACTAAGAGTTGCAATATTTATGGTGTTGTGATAGATGGAGAATCACAAACAAAAAAAGGGGAAAAAACAAAACAAGCAACTGTCTGTGGCACGACCTCGGTAGCTGAGCCGCCTATCGACGGTGGAGAGGGGGGTCTAGGGTCCACCAAGGGTTTCAGGTGGTTCCGACGGTGTCTAGGGTCTCGTAGTTCCGTCGAGGAACCGTCGACGGTTAGGGTTCAGGAACTGAAGTCCCACGACTAGGGTTTATTATCACAGGAAGAAGGGGATCTAATACCATGTAACATGGAAGCTTTGCGTACATTATGAAATAAAAGATTACACGGTATATACAAAGATAAGGAACCGAATTAAGGAAAACTCAAAACTACAAACATGAAAGTAAAACCCGAATTTACTATATTTAACAATTAACTAAAAATGAAAAAAATGGAATCAAATCCCATGGTGTACCAGGAGGAATTGCGAATTCCTTTCGGTAAAGGAATTTGGCAATTCCATCCGTTTCACAAACTAAATCTGTCAAAGAAATTGAGTTGATATAATTGATCATTCCGTTTCCTTTGAATTTGGCTGAACCAAACGCCTCCAAAGATTCAGCCAGTCATTACCAACTGGTTTCAACATGAAGTGAACTCGTATTTTGGACGTAATACTTAACATAAACCACAGCTTTATCAATAACTTAACAATCCCTTTGCCTTCTTACCATCATGAATCACTAAAAGATACATGACTACAAGTATCACCTTCAATAAATACATAAAGACTTCAAGTTGAATCACCATCGACAACTTTTGAGGTCTTAACACGTGTGCTCGCCTGTTCTTCAATTCCCAACCACTTTCGTAAGTATAGAAATACTGTTTCATCTCTTAGTAGTGCCCGGTGAGCACCAGGGATTCCCGCCCTTTCTATTGCAGCAAATCCATCCGCCTGTACGCATGTAGATGCCAATTCAGTTTTGCAATAAAGAACCAAAATAAACAAGCCAGGCAAATCCCAAAAGGGGAAAGCTGCTAACTCCATGAAGACCATTGGCAATTTAATTTATACAATCTTTTATGCAAAACAACAAATACTCCTTCCAATCGATAAAAAGAACACCTGTTGACCTTTAGAGATCTAACACCGACTTTTTCCACGTGTAATATGATGTTCAGCAAAACTGGGTCATCACTTGTTGAGAATTATGAAAATTGAGTATTGGATTTGAAGTCAAAGATTGAAGATTTTGACCTCAAAAACGAAGTCTAGATTATTTGGAAGGAAGGGGGAATATAAAGTAACACACATCACACATGATATAAGGTAGGATTAGTACCATTGCAGACTCGGCAGGGACTGTTCCATCTCCATCCACATATGAGTATTCAGGCTGTACAAAATAAAATTAAAATAAGAACAACAATCTACATATTTCCCTTATAGAGAAGCCTCGGAAGGAATCTCTTCATCAATGAATATGCATGGTTTCAGAAATACATATAGGATCTCAACGGTTATAATAACACTGCTTACCATTGTATGGCATATCTCAGATGGGTCTTTGATTGGGTCGGTTTCTGAACCATAACTGCAAGCACACATTCCAATCAGAAAACACAAAACATATAATCATTATTATTATTAGTATTGCTCTGATGAAAGGATCGAGTGTGGTGTTGAAAATATACAGCTCTATGCCAATTTGTAATCCATTTGATGAAACAAGTTAAAAGATCACTAACATACCACACGTCAAACGGTGTCTCCATTGATGTTCCGTAGATGTTGTAAAAAGCAATCCCTAAGGGGAGCTGAACGTTGTTGAGCATATCGCGTGTAGAAGAAGCCCATGCATATATAGAAGAATTGAACGGTAATGGTATAGTCTTCTTGTTATATTCTAGCTGCCAGAGTTGAACAAGTGAACTTAGCCAACAAACAGCAAAATCAAAAGATAGTTGTGCAAAGTGCAGACAAAAGCAGAAAACTCTCTCAAAAAAATTGCAGAAATAGAAAAATAAGATGTGTATTTAAAAAAGAACTTGAAAACAAGAAAGGCAGTGCTGAATTGTGGAAAACAAGAATTGCACCCCTTGCAATTTACAAGCATTATGCAAATGCTGCGTTTGAACTTATGACTTCTAAAGTCAACCACAACAAGTCCCAACCACATTGGGCAAACCCAACCGGGAAATATATCCAGCCACCTTCGTCCCCCAAGCTGAAATTTTAGAGATCCAACCCTGATAATTTCTAAATTTCAAATTAGACAAGATATTTTTTTAGTTTTTATAGTTTTAATAATGATCCAATTTAATACTCTATATAATCAGCTATCATGATCGATTTTTTCAAGTCAACAAATCCTTTCATTGACCCTCAAAAGTCAAATGTGGGCTCGTTTTTGGGATAGAGGCAGCAGTACACAATTTTTTGACTGAACCAGTAATCTACACTAAGACCACAATCTCGATTGAAAAACTATATCAAATCATGATGTTCAAAGTTCCAAGTGAGGATAAAACTTTGTTTGACAAACCTATATAAAAAAGAAAACAAACTTTTGCAGCACATGTTCGATTGGCGAACCCTATGATCATCATGCCAAAACATTTCAATCTGTCTTCTTCAAAAAGAACAAAGAAAATTTTTTTCTCAAGGAATCCTATAATACCATATCCCCTTGAGAAGAGGTTTTCCAGAAACCTCAAACAATAGCATGCATATAAAGGCAAAATAGTCCATCTTTATCTCAAGATTCCAGAGATAAAACCATGTTTTTTTTTATTAACCTAGATATTCAACCCGCTATACGAGCCGACTAATTCCAGGGAGACCACCTGCTTTGCAGATAGCCCGGAGTCACCGCATTTGAACATTCGTGGCCACAAGGGGATTTTTATTCCTCCTTGGATTTGAACCTGGGACCTCCTGGTACTTTTGACCTTTGGAGCCAAGCTCAAACCAATCAGGCACCACCCTTGTGGTTGAGATAAAACCATGTTAACACCAATATGGAAAAGTTGACTTTTGAAAGGAATTTACTAACTTGCAAAAGTCTAAGATAAAATGCATCCACAACAAGATCTCAGGCATATACATTTGGTGCTCTTTATATTCAAAGCATCTCCTTTTTTATCGCAAGCCCCCTGGGGGGTCTTCAAAAAAACCTCTCTACCCCTTGAGATAGAGGTATGGTCTGCGTACATCCTATCCTCCCTAGGCTCGACTTTTGTGTGGGTTATACTGGACTCGTTTGGTTTATAGACAAAGTGTTTAAAGCAAGTACCTCATTGTCTTTCAATGCTTCTATAAAGAGCTCCACACTCCCAGATGGATCATATGATTCCAGTTTGACCGAATCTTCTCCATTTTCTGAATAGTTTCTCCAAACCACAATTTTAGGTTGTTTTTTCCATTTGAATTCAGGATTAGGTAGCATCTCATAAATAGAAGGACATTCAACCAACTGAACACAAGTGAGAACCAAATCACTTTTTGATGGATTTTATTTTACAAGTAATTAATTTTTCTTTCAAGTCACAATATTTTCTTAAACTTGGGTTTTTTTTTTGTAGATATTATGTATGTAACTTTAACGTCAATGTTTCAAGAAACATTACCAGTTGATGCATAGACCACCTCGACACAAAGAAGTAGCTTTCAAGTCCTTCCACAAACTGTAATCCAGTTAACAAAGAATCGTTGATGCATCCGGGTGCACCTGATACACATATACCTAAATATTAGGTTGCTCAAGAGTATTTGCTACTCCCTACAATGCAAAAGAAGAGATATGCTTGCAACTTTCCAATAACCAACATGGTCCCAAGGTAAGGAATAACTGCAGGGGGTCTTCAAAAGAACATCTACCCCTTGAGATAGAGGTATGATCTAAGTGCATCCTACCCTCTCTAGATCCTATTTTTGTGTAGTATATACTGGATTTGGTTGGTTATAGTCAAAGTGTTGAAAGCAAGTATTTCATTGCTTCTACAAACAGCTCCATACTCCCGGATGGACCATAAGTTTTCAATTTGACCAAATCTTCTCCATTTTCTGGATAGTTTTTCCAAACCACAATTTCAGGTTGTTTTTTTCATTTGAATTTGGGATTAGGTAGCATCTTGTAAATCGATGGGCCTTCCACCAACTGAAAACACAAGAGAACTAAACCACTTTCTGATGGATTTTATTTTGTAGGAAATTATTTTTTCTTCAAGTTGCAATATTTTCCTGAACTTGGGGTTCTTCGTAGATATTGGGTATGTAACTTTAACATCAAGGTTTCAAGAAACATTACCGTGTATAGGTCACCTCGACACAAAGAAGTAGCTTTCAAGTCCTTGCACAAACTGTAATACAATTAACAGAGAATCATTGATGCATCCGAGTGCACCTGACACACATATACCTAAATATTAGGTTGCTCAAAAGTACTTGCTACTCCCTACAATGCAAAAGAAGAGATAAGCTTGCAACTTTCGAATAACCAATTTGGTCCAAGGTAAGGAATAATTCAATGGATTTGATTATAAAGGTGGTCATAACCACCTCTTTTGAAAAATACAAATATTTCCTCTTAATTTTGTAAATCAAAAAATAAACAAAATTTTTAGTGTAATCTGTTTTGCTCCAATTTTTGTTGTATTTCACTGATTTTCGATTTAAAAAGTTAAAGTATTTAAAAAAAGTGGTTATAATTACCTTTTTATTCAAATCCATTGAATTATTCCTTACCTTGGGACATTTTGTTTATCCAAAAAGCATATCTCTTCTTTTGCATTGTCGGGAGTACCAAGTACTTTTGAGCAACCTAACATTTAGGTAAATGTGTATCAGGTGCCCCTGGATGCACCAATGATTCTTTGTTAACTGTTATTTGTGGAAGGACTTGAAAGCTACTTGTTTGTGTCGATGTGGTTGTGGTCTATGCATCCACTAGTAATGCTTCTTGAAAACCTTGATGTTAAAGTTACATACATAAATCTATAAAAGAACTCAAGTTCAGAAGAAAAAATAATTACCTATAAAATAAAATCCATCAGAAAGTGATTTGGTTCTCACTTGTGTTTTCAGTTGGTTGAATGCGCATCGATTAACGAGATGCTATCTAATCCCGAATTCAAATGAAAAAAGCAACCTAAACTTGTGGTTTGGAGAAACTATTCAGAAAATGGAGAAGATTCGGTCAAGATGGAAACTTATGGTCCATCTAGGAGAGTGGAGTTGTTTGTAGAAGCATTGAAAGACAATGAGGTACTTGCTTTGAACGCTTTGACTATAAACCAAACGAATACTGTATATCCGACAAAAAAGTAGGCTATAGGAAGGTAGGATGTACGCAGACCATACCTTTATCTCAAAGGGTAGAGAGGTTCTTATGAAGACCCCTCCCCCCCCCCCCCCCCGGGGCGAAGAACCCATCAAAACCGATAGATTGAGCTAATTTGATGGATTTGATTAAAAAGGAGGTTATAGCCACCTCATATATATAGTTACACACAACTCAAATAGGGTTTAGCAACAAGTACAACTGTACAAGCCTCCGATGCAACAACGGGTAGTACTCGATAGAGGCAGAAGGGAAAACGGTTTAAAGCGTAAGTCGTGAGGGAGAAATTTAAGGTCTATGTATTTATAGAGAAGGATACTTGAAGTTCTAAGGATTGGGAATTTAATATTACAGTTTGACTTATGTCATCTAATTAATAACTCATTTCTAAAGAAGTCTATAGGAGATGAAAGATGACAAAACTTATTTAATATTACGGTTTGACTAGGTATTTCATAACTCTTTATGAGATGCACCTAGGCCCAAAAAGGCGCCTTATCCAAGGCTCATCACTTTAGTGAGCCTTGTGAATGCTCCTGGCCTCGAAACAGAAGTGGTATACTATTAACTTTCCTACAGGATGTAACCCCTATGGCACAAAATGGCTGCAGGCCCCCGAAAAAAAGACGTGTGTAGAAATAAAAATTGAAGATATTTCAATAGCAAGAGATACAAGAGACATAAATGATTCAATGATCTGAACAAATATTATTATTATGGTTCGAGAGGCAATAACAGTGTCAACTCGGACAGTATAGTGGCAGTGTGTTGAATCAGTAGCAAACAGTAAGTGTCTTTTTTTATGGGCGCTTTATTCTGGCTCCGCTTAGAAAAGGTCAAGCAGACAAAATAGGCATTGCGTTCTTTATGAGATGCGCCTGGGCCCAAAAAGGCGCCTCAACCAAGGTGCATCACTTTAGTGAGCCTTGTGAATACTCCTAAGGGTTCCCGAGGCCTAGGAGCTAGGAGTAAGGCACGAGCCTAAGGAATGCAAGAAGTCATCTTATCAAATATATATATATATATAAGAGCCTAATCAATTGAGAACTCCGTAATTTGTGACAACCGTGAGATCCAATATGAACCGCCGCCTCCCTCCCAACTCCGATAGAACCACCCCATATCCATCCCCTTCACCATCTTCTTTCTCCCCCAATACCATATTCCAGTCACCGTCTCTTCACGTCTCTATCCATACACACTGTTTTGCAAAATGCCAATCGATGTCAAAGTTAAATCATTTTCAGGCCATGGGTTTACGGTGACGTTTTCACAATTGATCGAGTGGGTTATCGTGGTAGTAATTATCCCATATCTTGAAACCCATATGTTGATCGAGTGGGTTTACAATAGAGTTCCAGTGATTACATTGCTATCCATATATTGAAACCCATATGTTGATCGAGTCGGTTTAAGAAGCAGTTACAATTACCACAATGTGTTATCCTATATCTTGAAACCCATATATTGATAAGGTGATCACAATATGTTATCCCCACTTCACGAATCCATCACGGTGATCACAGTGGGTATCACATTGTGTTATCCCCATTAAGTCAAAATTACCAAAATTATTAATTTGCTAATTTATCCTTTGATTTGTGGTTGAGACTGGATCTCATGGTTATCACAAAGTACTCCGTGAATGTGCCCCATATATATATATATATATATATATACACACACACACACAACTCAAATAGTTTAGTAGCAGGTATAACCGTACAAGCTCCAATGCAACAACCAGTAATACTTCGATAGCGGCAGAAGGGAAAAGGGTTCAAAGTGTAAGTCGTGAGGGAGAAGTTTAAGGTTTGTGTATATATAGTGAGCCTAGACCTTGAGCCTTATGGGCCTCAGAGCCTAGGCGTGCCTCAGGCACACTTTTAACAACTATGTACACATGCATGTACGTGTGTGTGTACATCATTACTAAACTTGGAGGATATTAAATTTGTCTATGGTTTCGGAAATCGCTAATCTTTGAACATCTACACCCGTGAAAGTGACAAATATTCAAGCAGTGTGAAATTTGCATAACAAAAGGAGGGGCTTTTCACCAAATACTAAACACTGGTCAACCTAGATGACTTAAGATGCAATTTAACAAATCATTTAACCATTTATTCAAATATAAATTAAAGTAAATATCAGACATACATGGCTAAAATGAACATAGAAATCTTGAGGTCTACCCTTATATGTAAACTTTCAGTGATGATTTCTTCTTGGATTTCTTAACCACATATAATTGTATTTGAGGTATCGAAACCAAAAAAGAAGCATTTATAACATCAAGAAGATTGTTTCTTAAAATAATAAAAACAATCGGCATTAAGAGGAAAAAGAATGTTGCAAGGAGAAATTAAGAGCAATACAACCGGTGAAACAATTGGTCGGAAGGTCCATAGAAATACCATAATGCACCATGTATTATGTTATAATATCTTTACCAAAACAATTCATGTACAAGTTCCGTTTTGTTTTCCCTTTGGTTTGTTCACTATTTATGGTGGTAAGGTTACTCTTTCTGAGCATAAATCAAGAGTTCTATTCATAAATATGTCTTTGCAATATGCAAAGGGAATATTTTGGATAATGACTTCCCTCTCCAACCTTGCAAAGCGGAGTAGCTTAGGTGCACCAGGTATCTCTTTTTATTCTCCTTTAATTTTTCTAGTTGACAAGAATAATCGAAGATGGAAACTACAAAACAGATAAATTATAGTCAAGGTGGTAGAAACGGATGATAGTTGTCCGAGAATAATATCGTAGTAATTTGAATTTCGGTAATAACAAGCACTTATTAGAGCATGTAAAGCACACCATATCTGCTTTCTCTCTTTTGCACACTTTTTACAAGTCAAGGGCCTTCCAGGAAACATTCACGCTACTCTTTTGGATAAATGTCTGGTCAGCGTACATCTCCCCGCCCTCTCCAAAACTCCATCTCAGGGTGGGATATATTGGGCTTGTTTGGTTTCGTTTAACCAGGTACATCAACAAAAAGAGAAAAGCAATGTACCTTGGAAAGGGGTTGCGATAGTTATCCACTTTTTCACATACTTGGAGAATACCTATGGCAAGTAGACGATTGGTCATGTCCTTCATGGCACTATGAAGTTTATTCCTCAGATATCCATAATGAACAAGTATAAAACAGGTTACAGGTTGTATTGTTCATACATCAGAATGGAGCGATATGAAACACGACACTAGCAATCCACCCATCGAGTGTGATATAAGGTTGACCTTTCTACCCCCCGCAGCTTTATATGCAGTCTCCAGCTTTTCCTTGAGGCCATCCATCGCTTGGTCAATTCTGCCAACAATACAGTAAAAGTGATGCTTAGTCTCTAGGACTTTTGTTATATTCTTTTAGTTTTTTTATAGAACGGTCAACAAACTAACACACTGATGTGTCTAAGGAGACTTGAAATCACAAACTAAAGGTTGTAAAGATCCACTGATACCATTGATCAAAAAGACCTAGGTAGGCCAGTTGTTAAGGTGCGTGGTATAGGGACGGGACTGGACACGCTTGGACGGGCAAGAGTGAGGTAGACGGGTGAAAGAATTCTAGAAGGTTTTAGGGTTTTAATTTGATATGGGTAGTTTAGTATTATACCAATCTTGTCCCATCTTTGACAAAAAAAATGCATTTTTGTCCCACTTGGGTCTTGTGCCTGTCTACTGTCGTGCCAAATGTGAGAGAGACAAGTATGTGTATTATCATGTCCCATCCTGTCCTGCATACCAAACGCACCCTAATACCTAAAAGCAAAAGTGAACTACCTATTGCTTTGTCGGAAGTCATATCCAAATCCAAACAGTGTGGTTCCTTTCTTGTATCCACACTTAACAAGCATATCGATCATGTCATGAAAATGGTACACATCCGTCATGTGTAAACATTTTATCCACTGAAACGACAAAAAATATGAATATTATATATGAATATACAAGAAGGCCCCCATTTTTGTCAAAATTGAACCTGTAGACATGATGAGGAATCGGTTCACCATATCATGGCATAATTAAGCCATTCATGGTCAATTTTGCTTCCCTTGAAACCGAAATTCTCACTCACTCTACCTCCCGGAACATGAAGGCTTCTATATTCTTGCTTGAATATAGCCAAACAGAATATATGATGCTACTATACTTACAAATGAGGGATCCAAAATATCAATCGCATAAAGTCCATAATCATCTTGTGGAACCACAATATCAGAACTATCATCCAATGCTTCTGTGTAGCCTGAAAATCCAAAACACATGAGCTTCTCCCAATTAACAAAATTCTCATATTCCAAATAAAAACATTTCATCACCATTTTGATTTATCAAGTATCTCTAAACAAACCATCAGACTTCTATTACACAAATTTCCAAAAGGAAAAAGAATTCAAACTCGTGCCGATAAGGACACGACTTGAGCATTTTAAATGTAACGGAACTTTTAGCATATTGAGAAAATTTTCCCAACTCCATTTTAAGGACCACAAAGACATGAATGTAGGGGTCAATATGCAACAAAAACCAATTCAAGTTTACATTTTCAGACTAATGAAGGCTGTTATCAATTACCAATATGAAGTGTTCTAAAGATCCCCTCTCAGGTTTGCTTAATTGCTCGCCTAGATGTTAAGCATCCCCCATCAAATTGTCAGTTAATATAGCTTGCAGGTGTTTAATTTTGGAGTAACGAGCTTAAACGTTTTATTTGGTTAGCTTTATATAGAGGAGTTTGATCATTGCTTAATGATAATCCCATGGCTCCAAAAACACCTTTTGCCCAACCGTTGCTCTCTCTTCTGCTATCACTCTCACTTTTCTCCTCCTCCTCCTCCTCCACTGAAACTACCGCCTCGATTTCTTGTGTTCATCAATTCATATTTCACAGCTTGGAGGTAATCTTTCCAATTCCAATCCTTTCAGAGTATTAATGAAATGATAGAAAGTTTTGTATAAAAAAATTGATTTCAACATTTTAAAACTGAACTGCTTATGCGGCTGCTTTAACCTTCGTTTCGGCCACCAAGAAAGCGATCATCACATTCACCCATTATCCTGCTTATTCTTGTAAACGCCCAATAAACCGAAAGAAGAAAAGCACCCCAAAATCAGAAAATTGGTCGTGTAAAATGTAACCTTATATTTGACGAATCACTTGCAAGATGTTATCCTTTTAAACCCAATTCAAAATGAAAATTCAAGTAACACCATAATAACTATAAAGAAGTTAGCGAGAAAGAGGCTGAACCAGTGTCGGGATTGTAAAGGGACCAGACTCTCTTTCGAAACTCCAAATCAGCAAGAAGGATGCGGACCCAAACCCGGGTGGTGAGCCCAAACCAACTCTTTGGCTTCGAGTTCAGAATAGTACCACCTACGCCACTCACCAGAAGTATCGGGTCAAGATCAGCCACATCGTCCCCGGAGCTCCGATCACTAAAGCACCACCATTTCCCACCCACCATTTCTTAATCCGTCTTGGAGAAATGCAGCACGTTTTGTGGGTAGTTGGGGAGTTCTCTTGTAGTGGGAGAAGTACCAATATAGTAGTACTATTATATAGTTGGTTAAGAGAACTAAACTGGTAGAAAATCGAGACTGGAAGATTTGACACGATTTCATGGATGATCTTCTGATAATATTCCGTTTAATATGCTTCTAGATTCTTCAAGTTACATGTTGCCCCTTATTTTTTGTTATTTTATTTCTAATTGATGGTCAACTTGAAATATATACAAGAATATAAAATACAAATTATTAATCCGTCCAATCTAACTTGAAAAATAGGCTAATCTAATCAGGTCTATATTGTATATATAGTTTTCATAGAGGGATTTTGTCTCACATAGAAAGTATAGTGAAATTTTACTTGTATTAGGAGCTATATATATGAATCTTAAGGCATCTCACTTAGTCCCATATAGCAAGAGTGACATAATCTTCTTTAGTTTAAAAGCTCTCTAAAACATCTTATTGAATTGTTTAAGAGATTAGATGAGTTAAGGAAGATTTGGCCTTGTTATCTGCAATTTTACACATTTATTAAACGGTCAAAAGATAGCAGTAGTCATGTGGCTTCCTGGGATCTGCTTGATTTCTAGTTTGGATAAAATTGAATTTTAGTTTCCCTTATCCAAATCAGTTATAGACACAAACCTTTATATATGTGTATTCTCTCATCGTTTTCTATCATCTTAATCATCCTTCATTTCATACAATTTCTGCTGAATGCTCATTGATAAACATATCTAGTTGTTCGATATGTTTGATTGATTAGGTAATCCTAGGGTGTATTAGCCACAACCTTGTTTAGTAGGGGCTAATAATATCCTAAGGACAGTGATAAATCACGTCCTAATAATTGTTTTGCTGCAATTTTCTCCTTCTACTATCTTCTTTTCTAATAATCTTAGGATATTATTAGTTAGCATCATGGATAGTATTCATAACACCATGAAATTGTTAGGCAATGATCCAATCAAACTTGATCATTTTTGATGGTACAAATTCCTTTTTTTATTAACCTGGATATCCAACCCGCTATGTAAGTCGATTAATCCCAGGACGACCACTTGCTTTGCGGGTAGCTCGGAGTCACCGTAATTGAACCTCCGTGGCCACAAGGGGATTTTTATTTCTCCTTGGATTTGAACCCGAGACCTCCAGACACTTTTAACCTTTGGATTCCAAGTTCAAACTAATCAGGCACCACCCTTGTGGTTACAAATTCCTTGTATTGGAAGGATTCTTACTCACTACTTTTAAAGTCATCTACATCTTAGATCCTGATTTGCAAGATTTGCCACCTTTAACAAGTAAAAATACCGATGAGAGAGTCATTGAAAGAAATAAGTGTGAAGAGGATGTAATTTGAACTCACTCTCTGATCGACTTTCTAATCTCTACACACCAATTCAGTCAGCCAAACAAATATGAAGTTCTTTGGAGTTCAAGTACAATACATAGAAGAAAGGGCAGATAAGTTCATAACTTTTAAGTTTTTTGAATTCTCTATAGTTGATAATGTTTCCATTCTAGATCAAGTTCATGAGTTTCTAATTCAATTTCTAAGTTTAAGGCTTGAAGATATCCATTCCCGAAAAATTAATTGTTGTAGGAATCATTGCTAAGTTACCACCTTCTTGGAATAATTATCAGAAGAACTTATGCATAAAATTAAGGGTTTCACTTTGGAATAAATCAGAAATACCTTTGAATTGAAGAAGAAACAAGCATTTGTGAAAAAGATCTCAATGTTTTTTCAAGTTCCAAAGATGCACTATGTAACTTAAAAAAAATCAGAGAAGGAAAGAAGAGGAAGACCTATGATCCTAGTATATCAAATTTGAACAACAATAAAAGGAAGATGGGGTTTTCAGAAATTGTGTGTCACAAATGTGGAAAGAAATGCCATATACAACGATTTTGCCAAAATTCCAAGAAGGAGCAAACTCAACAAGAAAATGAAGCAGGTGGAAGTGAAAGTTTGGTTGAAGAGAACACAAACAAAATCATTGTTATGATTTCGGACTTGCATATTGGTATAATACAAGAGGTTCATATGGTTGTTGCAACTATGAGCAATGATTGATGGTATGACTCCAATGCAACCACACACGTGCGTAATAATCTCTCCTAGCCTCATACTTCAAGGATTACACAGAGACTTCAAATGGTCATGAAGTCTTGTTAGGTGACAATCATATTGCCAAGGTGCAAGGAAAAGGATGTATAGAGTTATTGTTAATTTCTAGTAAGAAGATAATTCTCACTAATGTGCTTCATGTTCCCGTAATGAGGAAGAATTTGGTGTCTGGATTTTTATCATGTAAAATAGGTCTAAGGTTGTGACGGAATCTAGTAAGATTATTCTATCCAAGGCTGGATCACTTTTTGGGAAAGGATATGTATCTGATGGAATTCAAATCAAGTATCAATAATTGGAAATTCTGCTTACTTTCATGTGTCACATTTTGTTTCTAACGTTAACGTTGAATGTTCAAATTTCATATAACTGTTGGCACAGGTTAGTTATCAAACTATGAAATTCATGAGTAGAAGTAGATTAATTTCATATCAAAATGAGCATAAGGATAAGTGGTGAAATATGTGTGCAAGATAAAATGAAAGGAAATCCTTTTCCAAATATAGAAATTAATTCTAAATTTCCAGACCTTGTTCATTTGATATTTGTGAACTTAATGTCACTTTAACTAGAGGTGAATGTAGATATTTTATAACATTCATTGATGACCACTCTAGGCTCACTTATTTTTATTTTATGAAAACTAAGGATCAAGCTTTTGATGTGTTTCAACTATATAAAACTACGGTAGCAGCTTAAAATTATGTGTAGTGATAGAGGTGGGAAATATTTTTCTACCAATTTTGTTTCCTCTCGTGAAGAACATGGTATAATACATCAGGTTAGTGCACATTGTAGACACCAACAAAATTGAGTAGCGGAAAGGAAAAATAGAGTCTTAGTTGATATGGTTAATGCCATGATTGTTAATTCTCATTTGCCACTAAATTTATAGGGTGAACCCTTATTGATAACATGTCATGTACACAATAGAGTACTTTATAAGAAGCTAAAATTATCTTTATATGAGTTATGGAAAGGTAGACAACCTAACTTAAGTTATCTTCGAGTTTCAGGATGTTTAGCATACTATAAAGTTCCTGATACTAAGAAAACTAAGTTAGGACCTAGAGATTTACAAAGTTTGTTTGTGGGATATGCGAAAGATTCAAAAGCTTACAGGATTTTGAATTTGTAGTTGTAGAGTCACGAGACATTGAGTTTTCTGAGAATAAATTCAAAAGTCACACTACAAACATTGATGAGGTAAGAAAAACAACACTTGGAGATAATAAACATGAACCTTCTACTAGTAACAAACAAACTTCTTCAAAATGATGTTGTGTTGGTCCTAGCCGGATCTACAAGAGTTTATAGGTAACATATTGTAGAAGGGGGGGGGGATAAATACCAACACAACAACTTTCACTTTTAAAAAACTTATATTGATAAAGAAGATCAATATAGATTTTTACAGATTGCTTGTGGAAGAGATAGGATACAGAACATATTTAAACAATCAAAGATAACACATAGATTACAAATAGCAACAAAGAAAAGACTTGCTACAAGAAATAGGTTAAGAAATATTGTACTTTTCACTTGTTAAGGTGGAAGTCTTTCTATTAGATCGAGAGTTAGATAGAGGAGTATGTTCTTGGGTAAGATCTTCAACGAAAAGGATGCTTGGATATAGGTTGGAGAAGATAACTGAGAAGAGAGAATTACTCAGCTATTTATACCCATTGCATTAAATGCAATTCAGAAGGTACGGAGCACGTGGCATGATTTAAAAGGTAAGCTTGTACTTTGTTGCAGTATACAACCTTTTGGCCGTATATGAACAGTCTTCTTTCATAAAGTCGGTATGCACGCTTGGAAACAATAGAGTGACTCCGTAATGTACTTTAATTTAGAAAGGTATGGATTTGTCCTTTGTGTGCAGAAGGACAAGAAAAAAACTAATCTCGTTCAACAAAATTCATTTGATCGCTGACACTGGCTGGAGGTCTCATCAGTGTTCGCTGAATCCTGTAAATTTCAAATTTGTGTAGACGAGCTTGTTATCACTGAAAACCGGTCCAGATCACAAACTTGCTAGTCTCTATCTTCAGCTTCTATCTTCGATATGGCTGAAGGAGCTGTGGTGTGAGTTTTGTTTTCTTGAAGGATACTGGTCTCTGAACGAATTACAATACATGTTCAACGATCACTGAACGGACTTAGTGATGATCGTTGAAACTGAATACAGAGATAATATACTTCGTAAGGTAAAAGGAATCATCATCAAATCACTTAGAGAGAGGATCAACAATATCCCCCTATTTGATGATGACAAAGCAACATAAAGAAAATTGCTTAAGGTACAACAATAAGGAAAAGGTACTAGTAAAATACTTGTCTCTTTTAACTGTTTTGGGATCTTTTTTAGTGATACATTTTACTATGAAAATTTACTTTAATTGTAAAGGATTACAAAGAAAGAATAAACTTGCACAATATTAATAACTGAAAGCTGAAAGCATATTCACTGACTAGAATGGTGTCAGCGAATGTAAGACATAAATTGTTGATCCCAGATCTCTCAATAACACTAATAATCTAGTTATGAATAACCAAATTATAGTGATTTTACAAAGAAAGTTATGAAGACTCAAGATTAAAATAAGAACATTTAAGAACAAACTTGAGCTTCAAAGGTTTTACTTTATAAATAATGAAACTTAAAACAAAGAGTAAAAACATTTCTCACGTACGCACATATGCTTTCTTTTTACAATAGACCTACTCGTCTATTTATATTAGATGGCTAATGCTAAGATAACTATATATTGCTACTTTCTAGCACATAGTCAAGCTAACAGATAAGGTTTATCTTTTACATGGATAMTCATTATWAWCAAGATAAACTATAATTCCAGTTGTTGATTCGTCATCTCCAGCTGTCATTATCTATGTGGTGATTTCATCCTTATCTTCAAGTCTTCATTGCACGCTTGTATGAATACTTAGAAAATCTTCTAAGTGTTAGTCTGTCCATCGTATCAATAAGAATACTTTTCATCGCATCATCCATCGGTCCGCTGG